AGGACACAATGAGGAGGGAAGCAGGGTGTGGCCTGACAGTGTGCATTGCATCATAGGATAGATGAGGCCCAGGACAAGATGAGTAAAGTTGGCAATGCATGCTGGGAAATGTAGCTTGCTGTGCATTTTGTGGATTCAAAGCATGAAGCCCAACCTGAATCTGTGCAGCTGCTCTAAAAATGATCACAGGTTTAGGAGTCTGGGTAGACCATCTTCATTTGTTGGGGATGAAGAAGAAAAAAAGTTCTAACATGGAAGGAATAAAAAGGACTACATAGAGCTTGGGAAAAGTAATATTGTTCTCAGGAAGGCTTAGAGGAAGAATATGTCTCTGAAATTGCTAATATAAAGTGTCAGGGAAAATACCAGGAAAGGTGCATCCTGGGCACAATATGGGATAAAGCAGCCTTTATGAAGCAAACACAGGAAGAGTCAGAAAAAGAAAACAGGCTGAGGTGAACAGGGAGCTGAATGTACGTGTACACGTGATTATCGTGAAGAAAGTAAATCAGCTTTAATAGAATTAGAATTCAGACTGAGAACAGGAACAAGTACAATCAACAGTGTAGAAAGTCAAATAAGTAGTATGTTGAGAAAAGGAAGTTCTACCAACATGCAGTCGCAAAGGACACAGAAGACAAACACGAGATAAAAAACAACAAAGATGATGCAGAAGAGAGAGACTGGGTCAACAGAGCAGAGACAACAAATGATGTGATAAAGAAACACGTCCTGAACTGAGCAGAGACCTGCCGGGGCTGCTGAAAAAATCCACCACGCTCCAGCAGTCTCGGTGGGGAGAAACTCAAATCTGGACACAGCGTGGCAACATTTTTCTTAGGCTTTTTATTACTGAAATTTCAAACACATACAAAACCAGGCAGAATAGTATAATGAACCCCTAGCTCATAAAGTTTACCAACATTTTTGAATAGCAAAAATCAAGAGAAAAATTTTCTACTCATGTAGGCAGAAAACTGAGACCTGCCTTAAAGGGAAAAAATATCAATCTTGAGTTTTGCTACAACTCTAAATGCCAGAAGATCAGAATAGATGAATGGGAGGATGAGACTGGAGGGTCCCGAGCCCAAGAGTTCAAGGCAGCAGAACACTGTCATGGCATCTGCGAGCAGCCACTGCACTCCAGCCTGGGCAACACAGCAAGATGAAGCCCTCGTATCTTTAAAATAAAAATAAATAAAGAAGGCTTGGTGCCCATAGCACAGTGGTTACAGTGCCAGCCACATACACCGAGGCTGGCAGGTTTGAACCCAGCCCAGACCAGCTAAACAACAATGACAACTGCAACAAAAAATAGCTGGGCATTGTGGCAGGTGCCTGTAGTACCATACTGGGGAGGCTGAGGCAAGAGAATCTCTTAAGCCTAAGAGTTGGAGGTCGCTGTGAGCTGTGATGTCACAGCACTCTACTAAGGGTGACATAGTGAGACTCTGTCTTAAAAATAAATAAATAAATAGGAATGATCATAAAAAACTTACTATACCACTACTAGAATTTATATATGTATCATGTTTCTCCCTCAAACACTAAAGAAGAGTAAAGGAAATGCAACAAAATAGAGAAAACACAAAAAACAGTAGGGAAACAAAAACAAAAAGCATAAAGAAAACATACTGAAAACTTAGAGACTTAAACATACAGGAAAACACAGTTTTGAAGGCCAAGGTCTGACTGTGGCACTATCTTAATCCATCCTTGGCCTTAGTTTAAGCCTCGCTGGGGGTGTTGAGAACCACTAGGCTTCTGTTCAGAGGCCAGTGACAGGTGCTGGCACCTGGGAGCCTCCCCCTCCCTCTTCCTATAACAGTGAATTCGTGCATTCCAAGTGCAGTAAACTTAAAACGGTTTCCCAAGTGGAATAAGATTGAAATCCACAAACTGGAGAAAAACACAGGGCATATTTCCAGTGGAAAGCTGGAGCATTAGCATCTAACTGATTTCTTTAGGGAGAAGTTGGTACTCAAAAGCTTTGTTTAGACAGCTGGGGAAAAAAAAATCCATGCATCCGAAATATTTTACGATGCTAGTTTTTCTCTTCTCCTGACTTCCTGTTGACTGAAAGAATTATCAGGTTTCTATCTTGGCTTTTAATCATAAAGGAAGGTGACTAGAAGTGGGGCAAATTTTCACCCAGAGCAGTAGGTATCATAAAAGAAGATGTAACAGAGAAAGCAAAGGAAGCCTCTGAATGGTTGGGAGAAAAAAGATTAAAAATGGGAATCTGAAGAGGTCTTTGGAAAAAACAAAAGCACAGCAGGAGGAGGAAGGCGAACAGCCAGAAAAGTCCTTATATACAGTGTTTTCATTTACTGGGCCCTGTCTGCCAAACCCCAATAAGGGAGGCCCAAAGCAAGTGGCTTATTAACTGACATGTTCCCCAGATCTTGCAAGGAATGAAAGCAAGATGAGTTAAGGAAAGCACACTGGATCCTGCTCTGTTCTCTTCCTTTCAATGACATGTCTCTGGATCTCTTGCCCTCATTTACATCCAAGCACACCTGTGTCACCTTTTAGGCTCGGTCCAGGCCCCACCATTGCTTGCTCTGGCAGCTCTGACTCCAGTGTCCTTTCCCAAGCAAGTCTTGCACTGACCATGCTGTGAACACTCAGCTTTTAACCTAGCACTAGAACGGGCTTTATCTGATCACAGGTGTCTGCTCAGCATTCAAACCATGTTCCTGGGATTAAGATGCACGAGCAAATGCTGCCAGTTAGAAGCACAGATACACAGAATACACTACACCCCTAAATCACTTTAAAGGTCCAGTTTCTCTCCTCTCCTGGTATCCTGCCTAAATCCCAGGCCCCCAAGCAGCACATTTCCCAGCTGTGAACGTGGTCCCGCCTGTCTTTTCTCACAGTGTGGGAGGCAGCATCTAGGCTGGAGAAGAAAGATGCCCAGCCCCTGTCAGTCAGTCACTTGCTTCCATCAAGCTGTTGAAGATCTGAGGGTCCTCAGGAATAAATCACAAGAGAACTGTATAATTTGAGCCTTGACCAAAAACCAGATTACTTTATTCACTTAAATTATAAGCCTCTCCACTAACAAAAATGAAGTGAAGCATTTCAGATCCAGTCTGTCTTAGTAAGAACACCAGAGACAGGTCTGGGAGCCAAAATGCATAGATGAGAAACAGACAGATAAATACTCAAGAATCTTCAGATTTCAGCCCAGCTGCCCAGCGTGTTTGAAGGGAAGGGAACATTAAAGAGCTTGCAGAAAAGCCTCTGAAGCCAACATACTGCCCGGAAGACCCAAGGACGTGCTACAGTAGAGGAAATGCTCCAAGTCCACAAATTATTTTTGATTCAGAAAAGGGACAGAAGAGACAACAGGGCGAGGGTCAGAAGACAAGGAGAGGGTAAGCCAGAACAACCTGTGGACGTTTGGTATGCTGCAGGTGATGCAGGCCTTCCTGCCCACAGAACATTTAAATAAACCCTAACAGAGTTTCACTTTAATGAGATTTTGATTTCCATCAACCCAGCCTGGCACTTCTTAGACATACCCATTATATTTTTATCAGCATGTGCCAGGCAGCTGCTATAGCTACTATCAACCTCGAGAGCCCTGAGAGTCTAAACAAACAGATTTTGTGGCAACACTCCCAGAGCCAATGTATTCTCTTATCCCACTAGCTTGAGAGTCTGGAATTCTATTTTAACTGCAGGCAACTATGATGGTTTGCATGCAAGAAGTAATTCAATTTTTCCTCCAGTGTGTGGCATAGATTTATGACACATGTAGATTGTTTTGAAACTTAAGGGGCAATATCACATCAACTATAACTTTTAGAAGGGTTAAGAAGATGAGGAAAACAAATTAGTCGTTGTGATGTCTCATGTTCCTTCTGCCCTCCAACTTTCAGCTCAGTTGCTTTTTTTTTTTTTAATTTTATTAAGTCAAATACACATAGGTCATTCAGCTCAGTTTCTTGATGAAAACAGCCAAAAAGAAGGGAGGACAGGCAAATGGGGGGGGTGGTGGAGGGGGCAAGAAAGACACTGCCTCCAGCTCCGATTATGGGGATCCAGAGCTCACGGGATGGTCTGCTGTGAGTTGAACAAGGAACCCCAAGCAGGGGAAGGTGCTGTCCACCATGAGAAGAGCCATCCTCTCCCCTCTGCTCTGCTCTTAGCTGGGTGGCCTTGGGCAAGTCACTCAGAAGCTCTGAGCCTCAGCATGTTGTCAGAAGGATGGGTGTAATAACACCTACTCCATAAAAACTCCAGAAAACACATAGCAAAGGCTGAGCTCAGGAAATGAAGGTGGGTATTACAGAAAGAAAAGCAGTTTACCCACACACAGTTTGCTTCCAAAAGCCAGAGGTCCCTTTATCTTCAGTAAAATGGAGGGCCAAGGGCATCAGAGGAAAGCAGGACATATAAATATTGTCACTCATAACTTCGCCTGACTTTCCATCACCTCGGTTGCCTCATTTCCTCCTTAATTAAGTGAGCCCTGGGCAACAAAGCGTAACCAGTCTTCTGTTGTTTTTTTAATTATAGTGCTTATAATTATATATGACACGACCAACCTCAAGCTGTTTTCACCTTTATCACCGAATGTCATTTTCACTAATATCTTTATATCTGCTTATTGATTAAATCCTCCAAAAATGATCCAGGTAATAAAACACTCAAGAGAGTGTAATATTATCTCTGACTTCTTGATTAAAGAACAAGAAATGCTCCAAGTATGTATTTCAGAGAAATTCTCACATAAGTCCATGCCGGGACAGGCATGAGGTTGCTCACTGACCACCTCCCTCCATTGACCACTTCCTTAAGCTGACTTAGTTTTCATAGACCAGACATGCACCACATGTATGTATCAGTACAAGAGACCTAGTTCCTTATGCTGACTGGCTCCATATGTTGACCAGTTTGTTACAGTCTCTTGAGTGGTCAACTTACAGAGGGTCTACTGTATATGCATACTCTGGAAGAGATGAATGGAGAGACACTTGGACCAAAGGATAGAAGGCTGGATGGTAGAGAAAGAGATGGATTTAAAGGAGAGAGACAATAGGACACACACACAGCCTGGGCAGTATTCGGTCCAAACACTGACATGCCCACTGGAGTCTTACCGGAGGCCCCTGGCTTGTGGCTGGGCTGGCCAGCCTGGTGCACGCTCTGTTGTAACAAGCTGAGGCACTCCCCAAGGCAGCTGAGGGTAGCAGCAGAGGTCGCTTTCAGGAGCAGCAGATCCTGGTCCAAGGCAGTGAGGGGGCCAGACCCTGGCAGGGACTCAATGGCATGTACGAGGTTCTTCTGCTGCCCTTCCACCTGGTTCATCATCTACAACACAGAGAAGACAGCAAGGAGGTGAGGGTCGGGAGTCCTCCTCTCACCAGGCTGGGGAGCCAGCACCTAAACCACAAACTAGGTGCACGGGTGTCCAACCTGTGGCCCGCAGGACTATTTGTGCTTATCTGTAGTGTCAGATATCATGAAAAATATGCATGGACCTTTTCATTGCTAATCAGCTTTCATTAGTGTTTGTGTATTTAATGTGTGGCCCAAGACAACTCTTATTCTTCCAAAGTGTGGCAGAGAAGAAAAAAGGTTGGACACCCCTGTATAGCAAGGTGAAGGTCAGCTCAGACAATGCTCAGTGCACATCAATCCCTTGATAGGATATCCAGTTCTGGGTGAAATCTACCTAGCCAAATCAGTCCAAAGGCACTCTAATCAAAAGAGAATTTTAGAACTTCAGAGACCACCTGGATGTATCTACAGATCTTCTGAAAGTAAGTCAATAATAAACACATTAAAGGTAGTCCTTACAATCCCCGTAAAGTTCTTTTTCTATGGAAAGTTATCTAAGATGGTCGATGTACCATGGTTTTCCCTCAGAGCAAGGTTTAGCTTTTCCTCCAGCTCCAATCTTTACCTCTTTGGCAGTTCTATTCAAAGATCAAGAAATAGAAGCAGAATCTGGGGCTGGTGTTTGAACTAGTGAGAGCACAGTGAAACCAATACCGAGCACCCACCCCACTCCATCCCACGCAAAAAAACCAACAAACAGGACTTGACCTTCATCACCCCATGTCGGAAGTCAGGAAGAAGAAAAAAAGCAGGAATTATAGGCTTAGCCCTACTCCAGGCCTCAAGCTATGATGAGTAACAATATTGTGTGGCCTGGCTTCAATTTTTAAGCTTATTGCAGGACAAACAGGAGTCTACAAATCAAAGAGAAAGGAACTCGAGAGCTAGGAAAGGACGTTAATGGTTATCTTGTGAAGTTCTTCCCCTGCAGGAGCTATAACTTATCTTATTAAACAAGATGAGCGCTCAGCACCACATCTAGCAAATAGTTGTTCTGAGAAGTGGAGGAGCTCAGCAACTGCCCGGGGTCACAGCACTGGATGGCATCAGAGGCAGGAACAAGCCCCTGTTCTCTAGAAGCTGCTCCACTGTGTTCTTAAGCTTTTCCACGGAAGCTGTCCTTAATCTGAAGCAACATCTCCTACTTTGTCACTGTCATCCCTGGAGGATCCTTGTTACCATCATGACTTCACCAGCAGGGAAGAAACAATAATTCTGTAACGACTGCTGGACTTGGACACCAAACTCATTCTAGGCTCAGCCTTTTAAAAGAAAAAATTCCTTTCAAAATCAAATACCTGCAATTTCCTACCATTTTGTATGGTTGTCTGCTTTAAAAAAAAAAAAAAATTACCCTTTGCAATCCTACTTACCAAACCAGGTACCACTACTTCAAAATGAAGTTGTAAAAAAGATTAATGTTAATAACCATGTTGCACAGACAAGATTTGGACTCTTCTCCCCATAATGTGTACACCCATCATTTGGACACGCAAATTGTTTTTTGCAGATTGCAAAGGTTATACTTAGCCATCTGGCTCCTAAAACAGCAACTGGAACACAACACGAACTCAGGAAGTATTCATTTCTCCTTTAGGTTTTTGCTTACAAGTCACCTTTTCAAGAAACTTCCCAAACCACCTAACTTAAAACTGCATCTCCAGCCCAACCCCTGGCACTCCCTATCCTTCTTACCCACCTTTTTTTTCCTCCATAGTATTCACCACTTTCCAACCTAACTTGTAATTTACTTCTTGTTACATTCATTTTAAGCAGGGATCATTACCCATGTTGTTCACTGATATGTCCCAAGCACGGTAAGTACCTCTTGAGTGAATGAATTCAAGTCTCAACTCTTCCCCCTCAAGCGTCAAGAATCCATTTGTGACACAAAGTCTACAGAAATCATACACTTGACGAGCATAACATGGCTGAAGGATAATGCCTCTGTTACCAGTTTAGGGTTGCCAAGAAATATTGCCAGCTGGTTAAATTTAACTCCAAACAAGATGAAGTGTCTATGTGTTCATTGACAGTCACTATACGTATAACAGCTAACAGGGAAAAGCAATTTTCTAGCTATTTGTAGTAGTCAGCATTTCTACCATAAAACCTTATCTTGGAAAAATGTGTTGAAAAGAAAGGAGGAAATATAATGATGAAACATATAACACGTATGTTTTTGACTTTGAATGATACCCCAACACTTAACAGAAAAGGTGAGTAAAATCAGGCCATTAACTATATGGAATATATTCAAGCTTAATCAACAAAAAGAACTAATTATATCCCAATTATATAACATAGGGCAAATACTGTTAACTTACAAGCATACAGTATGACATAAATCTTAGGTAATAAAAACACAAAACTAGCTCAGAGGATACTCTATCAAGCAGAGGCACATGCTCAGAGGTGGCGTCCACACGTTAGCCTCTTAAAAGTACTCAACAGTATTTATTGAGAACTAGACACCAGTGCCAAGGGCTATGATGGCCTTTTAGAGGGGCACTTGGAAATGGCAGTGAGGTGGGTTTGGTGGTCATAATGATTGAGAGAGAGCTATGGCACTATGGGGACCAGGGGCACTAAGTATCTGAGTTTGGGGGAACCTTCTGCACAACAAAGAACTTCACTGTTTAAAATGCTAACAGTAACCGCCTTGAGTCACCCCTTTGTTAGAGACAGATCAATAACCAGGCACCTCGTGGTTTTCAATGTCTTTCTTGTTAAAATGAACACTAAAAATAAAATAAACCTAGAACAGAGATTGGCACACAGTAGACACCTCCTAACGATTCATTTTCTACCCTTTTTCTGTGACATGGAAACAGAACTCTGGTCTTTAATGACACAATTGATGTATTAGCTTCAATAGATTCCAAAAGAAATTGCATAAACTCTGAAAGAAATGTAAGATTCCTAGCCCTGGAGCTATATATCACAGTTATTACTGCTCTAACATTTGCTAAGACTAGGAGGCACGGCTGAAGACTTCATCAGCCTTAAGAACAAGTTTTAGCTATTTCTATATCTCTCTAATTTTAACTAAGGACATACATTGGAAGATGAATACGTGTATCATACTGAACATCTGTATGTACCAAAAATAACAACAACAAATGCTTAAAGAGGCTCCTTCCCTTTCTAGGTGCCTGTAGATGTAACAACAAAAGAGCAAAGCACAACCATCAACAAGTAGACTCACCTACAACCACCAGCCTTTAAAAAAATAGTTGAGCCACTTGCTTTAATTATGTAAGTTTCAAATCAGAGCCTAAACACTTTGTTGAAGGCACATCCATACTAATCATCCATAGTATTGAAAAATAAAGCCCCAGAAAGCACAAATCTCATTTCTTCCTGGCATTTACTTTCTGCAATTGGGCATCACCATGTTGTAACACTGCAAAAATGGGTTCCCAAATTAAATTTCAGAGAGACACCTCCAGAAAATGTCAACTCTGAGGTTGCAAAATGTAGGTCAAGTTAAACTTCACAGATAAGGAAACTTTCAGAGTGGGTGAAAAAATTCTACGGCCTGTTTCCCACAGCACAAACAATGGCATAAGCATTACAAAACCCAAGCATAAATTAATTATTTATATCCTCCTATTCATCTGAAAATGAAAAAAAAATCCAAGCAAAGAAGTTAATGTTAATAGGAACAATGGCTGCAGAAAGAGAAAGAACTCCTAGACGCTGAAACCAAGACGCAAAGATCAAAACCCAATGACACCTAATTCAACAAGTTTAGATGTGTCTAGAGGGAGGAGTGTAGGAGGCAGAAAGAGGACATGGGCCCCGTTTCCCTTGACCACATGGGCTTTTCTGAGATACACACTTCCGTGCAGTTTTCAGAGGCACCTGAAAAGTCCAGTCTCGACAGCCCCAGTATCAACAAATCCGAGCTCAGTCACTTCTCTTCTTGAATACAGAGTCCTAATTCTGGAGAGGTTGGTGGAACCTCTTCACAGGTTCCTTGATGCCTTCAGGAACTAAACCCATCTTGCCTACAAACACACCAAACAATTTGATGCCAAATACAAGATGGCTTTGGTCTGGCATTGTTCCTCACTTGGTGGAATTCGCGAGCCCTTGCTAAGTTTCATGGCTCATGGGTCAAGGGGTTGGTTATTGGTTAACTTAGGCACTTTTCCATTCGGCCAATGTCCTTACCTGGGTTTCAAAGCCTGCTTCCAGGCTCTTTAGGTCAAAACCACATAAACACACACAAACACAGAGCCTACTGTCTCCATTAATGTGACTTTCCTATTCCACTAGCCTCATGGAGCATTGCTTTAATATTCTAGGAGACCCTGCCCCAGAAATAGTTTGATTGTTCATTGCAGGAACTTCCTGAAATATCCATCAATTCTTTAATAAAAATAAGGCAGTTTGCTTGCTAAAACTCTTTATATGCCTTGCTTCAAAATCTTTGCTGTTGTTTCCACCAATCCTGAACTGTTATATAATATTGTGGTCCTACCTAATCCTAATCAAGTTCCCACATTGTAAAGGAAACTTCCAATTCTCAAATTCTGACCTTGTCTTCCCCCTTCAGAGACACAGCCAGCAGCCTGTGAAGGTAGTATTCTTCTTCACCTTGGCAAACAATACAGTCAGCTTTGTCTTATGAATAGATTGTATTGTTGAAACATATTTGAAGAACTGGCACTCCAATCTGCGATGCCCTTCCCCAAACTTCTGACTGTTGGGAACAGCTAAGTTCTAGCTTCACATCTGAGTAATCTTCTCTTCCCCCAATAAGCTGTTGACTTTTCCTACCCGATATCCTACCTTCTCCAAATACTTTCTAAGCTATGTCTCCTTTCTACTGCCTGGCACACCACACCTGGGATGATAATCTACCCAAAGTGCCCTTGAGCCAGGGTCCCAGGCCCCCTGGGGACATCACCTCCTGCACTCCCAAACACAGGAGTAGGTCAGTCCTAAACCTGATTAGGTGA